TGATGGAAACATGCTCAACAGCAAAGCCCTCGGTGTTGAGTATTAACCTTGCACCTGTTCACACCAAGCTTGCTGCTCCTGAGCAGCTCAGAAGCTCTTGAATAGTCATCCATCCAACCATCCAACCAACCACCCACCCATCCATCCATCCCCGGACCTACCCACCCACCTTTCATCCATCTACCCATCCATCAATCTGTCCTCTGTCCACCCATCCATCCATCTGCCATCTATCCATCCAAACGTCCATCCATCTATCCATCCCACCTTTTCATCCATCTACTCACCATCCATCTGTCTGTCTGTCATCCATCCATCCATCCACCCACCCACCCACCCACCAGCCCACCCATCCGTTCACCCATCTACTCGTCCCTCCATCAAACATTATTGAGCCCTGAGCTATTGGCACCTGCTTCTCAGGAATCCCTCATCAGATGTGATGGAGCTTAGACACGGAGACCAATAAACACAGAAGAGTGTGGCTTTAATTAGCTGCATGTTGTCTATCACCTTGAAACAAGCATTTATTATCTCACACGGTGGCCTTGGGCCAGGAACCTGGCTGAGCTAGGTCTCTCAGCTCCAAGTCTCTCGTGAGGTTGTGGTTAAGATATTGACTGGGGCCAGAGGGTCTGCTTCCAGGACGGCCTGTCACCTGGCTTTGACAGGAGACCCCGCGTCTTCCCTGGCAGTCGGCCGAGGTCCTCTCAGCTCCTTCTCAGTGGTCCTCTGTTCAGGTGGCTTGTGAGTCCCCACAGCACTGCAGCCAGCTTCCCTGAGTGAGAGACCTGAAGGAGGAGCCGGCTGCACCTGTTGACTTGGTTTTCAGGTGACATTTTTGCTTTTCCTTCTAACAAATATAAAAGGATTAGAAGAGCATCTGGTCAAGGAGGCCGAGGTGGGAACGGGGCTCCGCCTCTGCAGGGAGGAGCATCACAAGGTTCTGGTCTGCCTCCACCCAGCCCGTGAGTGGCAGGTGCTGAGCTGGAAGTGTGTGCCAAGGGGTGAGAAGGCTGGGAGTCAGCCCACCTGCTTCCAGGTGGAGCGAGTCCGCAGGGAAACTGTACAGGGGCAGCAAAGAAAGAGCAGGGCTCTGCCTCCTGCCAGCGCCACCTGGGACAATTGCCCACCCCTTTCTGGGTCTCTGTTGTGGAATGAACCAAGACCACTCAGGTAGCTATTGGGAGACACAGAGGCTGCAGAGGGAGAAGGGGCGGCTCTGGGGAGCCCAGGGCCCTGGTCCCAGGAAGCTGGTGGTGGGAGGACCAGACGCAGGGCCTCTGTGGCTTTGTGGTTCTGTTGAGTTGGCCACAGGAGCACACAGCAGGGAGCTGGTGGTGAGGGACAGCTTAGGGCATGTGGCCTGGTCTTCTGGCTGGTTGCTGCAGAGACTGGCTCTGCGGCTACCTGGGCTGGCCCTCGTCCTTCCTTACCTTGCACTCTCAGTGTCTGGTGGAGCCCCCAGGGCGCCTCGTCCTGATATTCCAGGAACTGACTTTCCCACTTGGAAATGTGCTGCAAGACATGGGCTGGAGGGAAAGAACTGGCCAGTCCAAGTGGTCACCAAGCCACAGGTGAAGGCTTCTGGACAAAATGGAGATGGAAAGAAAAAGAGGTGACTTGAGTTGCACCTTGTCCCTGTGGATGCTTCCGGGGGGGCTGCCATTATACCAACCACCAATAATGAGGGGGGGAATCTCCTAGTTCTAGGCAGCAGACAGCATCTGGATCTTTGACTCAGGGTGCTCAGGGTTAAAGGTCACCTGGGCCGACACCCTATGCTCACACAGTGCTGGAATCTACACTCCTGTCTTTCCCCAGCTGACAGGCCAGCTCCTCTTGGTTGCCTCTAGAGACAGGGAGCTTGCTCCCACCCGAGGCAGCACCCAGCTGATGTGCTGGGGGCGGGGCTGCCTGGATGATTGGCACTTGTGCAGGGAGCTCAGCCCTCCAGGGCCTGCCCCACCCATCCTGCCCCTCCTCTTCCCCTCAGCAACAGTGGCTGAGGCTTTGCCTCTGGACGTTCCCTGGGGAAAATGATTGCATGACCCTCGGGATCCAGGGCCGTCTTACCAGATTCGCCCCAGTTTGGAGGATCTGGGAAGGATGTGGGGCTGGGTGATTCTCACAGGGAATCAGGGACTAGGAAATTAGTACGACCGGGGGACTGTGTGCACATAAACGTGCTCTCAAGGGACACGTCATCGTCCCCAAGGGACACGTCATCGTCCCCACGGCACAGTCCTACTAGGCCATGGAGCTCCTCTGATGGTCACTGGGTGGGCTGGCAGGAGCCCCTTTTCCAGGTCCCCCTTCTCTGCAAAGCAGCCACCAACTGCCTGCTTGTCCAAGCCTGAGGTCCTGCACCTCCCTCCCTCCTGCTGGGTCTGACCCAGCGTCTCCTTTCCACACGTCTCCACCCCGAAACATCCTGGCCTGCCCGGGGGTTGGGGCCAAGGACCGGGCTCCTGTCCTGGTGCTGCCACGGGCTGTGGGCTGGCCGGGCCGTGCTGGCAGCAGAGGGCCCTTCGCTGAGCGGCTCACCTCTTCTCAAGAGGGATGGAAGGGTGGGGTCCCGGTGCCTAAATACACCAAATATCTGACAACACAGGGTCCTTCTGCAAGGAGCTAAAACCAGGCACAGCAAGAGGCAGCACCATTACCAGCCATTACCAGCCGTGCCCCCCTGGGAAAGTCACTTCCCCCTGTGCCTTAGTGTCCTCATCTGTGAAGTGGGGCTGACCTTCCGAGGGAGGAGTGGGCCAGGGCCCCCTCTGATGGCTCTTCCCCCTGCCCCACCCTGTGGACATCTTCCAGCCTGGTCAGACCCAGGGCATCCTTGGGACCCATCTTGGTCTCTACGGTCCCAGTGAGCCCAGCAGAGTACCCTAACTACCCCCAATTCGCAGATGAGACAAGCGAGGCCCTGAGAGGCGAGGGCACCCACGCAGTGCGGTCATCTGAGGAGTGTTGCCCCTGCAGGTGTCGGCACGCTGCAAGGGGGCCTGCCGCGTGCCCAGCCCAGCTCAGTGCCAGAGGAGACAGTGCCAACCTGGGAGAGCTCAGCCAGGGTGCTGGCGGGGAGCGGGGTCGGCTCCAGCATTCACGGTCATCACAGGCTATGGAGCAGGACCTTGTTAGGGAGCCCAGAAGGCAGTACCCGTGCGTGAGCAGGCAACCTGGTCTTTGGCCAGATTTTTTTTTTTTTGGTGGGAGGGCACCAGGGATTGGACCAGGGGCACCCAACCCCTGAGCCACGTCCCCAGCCCTATTTTGTATTTTATTTAGAGACAGGGTCTCACGGAGTTGCTTAGGGCCTTGCTTTTGCTGAGGCTGGCTTTGAACTCGCGATCCTCCCGCTTTGGCCTCCCGAGCTGCTGGGATTACAGGCGTTTTGCCACTACCCCTTTCCCATGGCAAGAGTGTATAGTGAGGGGATTTTAAAAAGTGTGCTGTGGGCTGTATTTGGGACACCCAGAGTTGTGATCAGGGGTCCGTCCAGAAATAAAAGTTATATCTTGAAGAACAGGCTCCAGGGTATCACTGGAGAGGGACAGGCAACTGGGACATTGGGAATCTGGAAGGCCAGAGGGACAGTGTCCACCGGGACCCATCTGGAGGGCACAGTGGTGTAGACAGACCGAGTTCTTCCATTGCCCCATCCTGAGTTTCCTAACCTGTCAAACGGGAAACGCGACTTCTACCCGGAAGGTTTTATTGATTCGTTGGTTTGATGGAGGGTTTAGTGAGAATCGGAGACCAGCTCTTGGCACGTGCAGAGTTAAAGGGAGGCAGAGCCCTGCCTGTCACCTGAGGAGATCCCATTCCCTGGAGGCCAGGCCCTCTGAGGCCCAGGCTGTGCTGTCTGGGCAATGCAGCTGAGTGACAGCTCACTAGCTGTGAGGTTCCTTCCTGAGCCTCGCTTTCCTCCTTTGCCAAATGGGGGACTGTGGGGACCCCTCAGAGCATGTCCTGAGGATAAAATGATCAGACATGTCAGCCGTGTCCCACGGTTAACACCAGGTGTGGGCTCAGAGCTTGTTTGTCAGTGTCTGTTGACACGGACGTTGAACGGATGTCCCCTGGCCTAGGAGGAGGGAGACCGGTCAGAGGAATAGATTCCTGAATGAGCCATTCCCTTCTCTGGGGCTCTGTCCCCTGGAACAAAGCCACAGGATTGGGGGATCGAGACACCAGGCTTCGTACCCTGCTCTGATTTCACACTGGACTCAGGGGCCCGGGAACACAGCTGGCCTCGGGCCACCCTCGGGGCAGGCCTCTCTAGTCTATCAGAGCAGCCTTCACGCTGAGCCAATCCCGGGCCTCGGAACCTTTCCAAAGGCACCTGCCAGCCACCACCCATCCACTGCGAGTTGACAGTTGAGGTTAAACTGACTTTTCATTCCTGGCCTGAGTGGGAGGAGAGACGCTCGCAGAGGCCCTGGAGGACACAGTCAAGGTGACGGGCTTGCAGTGCTGGGACCCAGGTGGAGGGCGGTGGCACGGAAGTGGGGCCACGGTCCATTTGGGCAACTCTCCAGGGGCACAAAGACATACCAGGTCCTCTCCACGGCGGGTGGGGACACACACACCAGGAAGCCTTCACCCAGGCAGCCTTTAGACCCAGCCCAGCATGGGGCAGGCCCGGGGCACACCAGGCCACGTGCTCTTGCTGGTGATCTCTCCCCCTGCCCGGGAACCAGGCCTGCTCCTCCTTACGGATGGGGAATCTGAGGCTCGGAGCTTATGGGCCTTGATGAACGATCCTGAGATCACAGCAGTGGCCGTGGGTTGGCGCCATCTCCACTCCCTCCTGGGCAAGTCACTTAGCCTGTCATCATGGAGGAGCTAGTCCAGGGGAATCTTTGGGAACATGGTCCCACACTTGGCTGGTGAGCTGTTTCCCAGGCTGCCTGCCTAGCTGTCCTACGCGTCCCCAGGACCTTGAAGTCTATGCTGCACACAGTAGGTGCCAACCAGGTGTGCCTGCACCTGACCCTTCCCGTGCTCTCCTGCCTTCAGGGGGGCTCTGCTCCCCCCATTTTCCTTAACAGGCTCCAGTCTTGCCTCCATCGCCTTGGTCCCCAAACAGAGGCTGTGGAGTATAAGCAAAAATGATCACGGGCAGGAGAAAGGGACAGATCCACAGCCACAGCAGGGGACCTCTGCATGCTCAGGAGTTGACAGAAAATCAGGAAGGACATGGGGGCACTGAACAGGGGCACCAACCAACAGGATGTAATTAACATACACAGACACTCAGGCCAGGCCACCAACAGCAGAATACAGGTTCTTTATAAGTGAACATTTATAAAAATAGACCATATACTCTAAATGATTAAAAAAACCCTAAAAGTATTTAAAATCTGCTGGGCACAATGGCCCACATCTGTGATGCCCACTACTCAGGAGTCTGAGGCAGGAGGATCACAAGTGCAAGGCCAGCCTGGGCAACTTGGAGAGGCCCTGTCTCAGATTTTAAAAGGGAGGGGACAGGGGCTGTAGCTCACTGGTAGAGCACTTGCCCAGGACTTTTGAAGTCCCCAAGTACCTCAAAAAATAAATAATAAATTCTCTGACCATAATGTAACCAAACTAGAAATTTTATTAATAAAAGAAAGATAGTCTGAGAACCTTGGAACACTTAGAGATTAAAACAGCACAGTTCTAAGTAATTCATGGATCCTAGGGGCTCTCTTAAGGGAAATTTCAAAGTATACTGAGCCAAATGAAAATGTAAAGGCAACATTGTAAAAATGTTGAGGTGCAGCTAAGGCAGCGCAGAGAGGAAATGTTATAGCACTAAAATGCCTCCATTCAACAAGAAGGGTCTCAATCATGAAGCCCTACTTCAAGAAGCCAGAAAGTAAAGAAAAATAAACCCAAAGAAAGAGGGAGAAAGCAAAGAACAAAAATAAGGCAGAAATCAATGAAACAGAAAACAGAAAAATAATGGGAAAAAATGGAGAAAGAGCTGGTTCTTTGAAACTATTAAATTTTAATAAACTTTAAGGAAAACTGAGAGAAAAAGCAGATCAGCAAATCAGAAATGAAATGGGATGTCACCATAGATCTGGCAGACATTAGGGAAGGACAAGGTGACTGGGCACTGTGTGTACACCTGTGATCCCAGCAAGTTAGGAGGCTGAGGCAGGAGGACCCCACATTCAAAGCCAGCCTAGGCAATTTAGTGAGGCTGTCTCAAAATAAAATCAGAAAGGGCTGGGGATGCAGCTCACGGATAGTGCTCACTCATGTAGCATGCAGGAGGCCCTGGGCCAATGCCCAGGAGGAAGGAACAGGAAAAAACTAGGAAACACTATGAACAATTCGGTAAACGTAAGTTCAGTGGCTTAAATAAAAGGAATCCATTCCTCCAAGACCCCAAGCGAACACATCCAATATGAAATAAACAATCTGAATAGTGCAATAAATTCTTTAGAACATCAAATTTATAGTTAAAACCTCCTGAAAAAAGAAATCTCCGGGCCCAGGTGGTTTCAGTGGAGAATTCTACTAACCAGCACTGATTCTGCACAATTTCTTCTTGAAAGCAAGAGAGGGGAGCCCTTCCCAATGCATCCGGGGAGGCCAGTGTTGCCAGATACCAAAGGCAGATGAGAATACAAGAAGAGAGCTGCAGGCCAGTGCCTCCCCTGAACGTGGGGAAGCACAGCCAACATCTTCAACAGAAGATTAGCAAGTCAAATTCAGCAAGTCGGGGTTTGACCGGAATGCAAGGATGGCTCGATTTTGGCCAAGCAGTCGGTGTGACGCATCATATCAACAGACCAAGCAAAGGACAGCACCCCAACCTCCTCCTCCAGGTGCACATGTGCACAACAGGACGTTATTCAGCCTTTAAGAGGCGGAGAGTCTTGTCCCACCTGTGGCCTGGAGGAGCCTTGAAGACTCAATGCGGAGAAGCCGGCCAGGATGGACAAGCGCTATATGATTCCGCACTCACGAGGGACCCAGGCTGGAGGTACAGGGGACGGAGTGGTGGTAAAGGGAGGCCCTGGGAACGAGGTGTCACTGTGTCATGGAGATGGTGAGACGGTTCTGGAGGTGGACAGTGACTGTCCGGCCATAGGAATGTCCTGAACGCACTGAATGATGCCCTTAAAATGGCTGAAGTGGTAAATATGGCGCTGGCATATATACTTTGGCACAATAAAAATTTTAAACAGGCTAAAAACCACCAAAACCCCACATGATCATATCAGTGGAGGCAGAAAAATCATCTGACGAAATTCACCCCCGTGCATGGTAAAGACCTAATTAAAGGCACCCCAAAAGCCCCACAGCCACCATCTTACTTATGAAAAATGGGTGCTTCCTCTGAGCTCAGGAGTAGCCGGGGAGGACAGCCCCCAGCCACGTCTGCCACACGGAAGCCTGTCCTGGAAGCCTGTCCTGGAAGCCCCCTAAGGCCCTGGGGGATGAGCAAACCCACGGAGCCGCCTGTCTTCCTGGGGGCTTTGGTCCTTGAACTCCTCATCAGATACAGTAAGGTTACCTGATGTTAGGAGAGTGACTCTGCCACCCCGGTTTCTATCAGGAGAAATCATTTGCCAATTCTGAGACTTTTATGTGTTACACTGACTTATGACACACTAGCCCCACATAAATCTTGCAACTTGGAGGCTGAGAATCAATGATGTCTTCTAGCAGGAACTGAGGCCCAGAGAAGGTGAGTGACTGGGCCCAAGATCACACAGCCAGGCAGGGGCAGAGGTGAATGATCTTACTCCAAAGCCAGCTCGAAGTCAGCTGAGAACAGTGTGGCCAAAATCACTTCCGGCAGGGCACACGAACACTCAGACAGTTGCGGGGACTGGCCAGGCTGTGTCATCTCCAGTGGCTCTGCAGGCACAACCCTGCTGGGAGGTGTGGCTGCCTGGGCAGAGGCACTTCAGCTGGTTGCTCTCATCCCAGCGTCCACTCTGATTACAAGTGACACCAGCCGCGGGCAGCTTTGATGGAAGCTGCCGTTATATAAGGGGTTACATAAACCATCCTGTGATGTCTGCGTCCAGCCACGGAGCGCTGGCGGGCCCCGTGCAGCCTGGCTGGTCGGGCCACGCTCTCCGGGGGAGGGCAGGGCTGGCAAAGGCCCTGGGAGGGTCAGGCTGGGGACTGACAGCCGTCACAGAGCATCTCACCATGGTCCCCAGAGCACGGACCTCACCTGCAGCAGCTGACGGTGGGATGTGGGTGTGTTTCCTGGCCGGAGGGCACCTGTGTTTCCCTCTCTGTTCAGGGGAGTGAGGGTGGCCCCTGGGACGAGCACGTGACTTAGGACACGTCCTGTATTGGGATCAAGCAGATTCTGCCTCCTACCATCAGGTGTCAGAGGAGCTCAGAGCTGGAAGTGAGAGCACAGCAGCCACCGCTGGGCGGGGAGGGGAAGGGGCCTGCCGCCCCCAGGCGTCCAGCCAACTGAAGGGATGTGGCGGATTCACCACCAAGTACAACCGCAGCAACCTGGAGCATCTCCCAGAGGCTTGCTCTGTGGTGAGACTGAAGACACCAGAGACTCGGCGGCCCAGCTCCCTGCTCTCCTGGGGCTCACCTGGCTGGATGGAAAGGTGTTTCCGGTTCACAGGATTAATGCCTTCCAGGGGCGCCAGATAACTAAGGGCCTTCTGTCTGTGGCTAAGGAGGTTGGACCTCATCTTTGTCTCTAGGCACGGGAGAGGGGGTCATTAGTAATGCCAGGAGTTGGTGGAGAGGCTTCCTGGAGGAGAGGATGTTTGCACAGGGCCTCCAAGAAGGCCGAGGGGACAGAGTTGACCAACTTGGGCCCAGCATCGGAGGTTTGAAGCTTGTCTCCGGGTGCATCACCAACTGTAAGACAGAAAGCAATTCCCTGCCTGCCAGATGCAGGGCCAGAAGGAGGAGAGTCCGCAGACCTCCAGAGTGAGGCAAAGTGCCCCTGTCCTCAGGCCGCAGCTGCTCTCTGTCCCCTCTAGACATGGATCGCCCACAGCTGGACGATGACCATCACACTCCTGACCTGCGTGGACGGTCAGGGGTCCCACGCTCAGCAGGAGGTGGAGGAAGCACTGTGGCTGTGCACACAGAGGCCTGGCTGCAGGTTCAGGTTCTGCAGCTCCTCACTGCGAGGCCTGGAGCGGGTCACTCCACTGCCCTCTCCTGGTTTGTAAATGGCAAGGACGCCAAGGAGTCCTAGGCTGCCCCAGGGGACCGTCCACCAAATGCTGCCGGTGGCACACAGGAGGTGTCCCACACGTCTGCTTTCTTCCTCCCTCCCCCTTCCCTCCTTTCCTCCTCTCTCTGCCCTAAAAGAGAGTTTGGTGGCTGAGACATCGTCATGAGGCACGTGGCTGCACATGACAGGTGTTGGTCACCCAGATGTGAGATGTCAATGAAGCACCATGTGACAAAGCCGCTTGAGAGCTCAGTGCTGTGTGAGGTGCAGAGGCCCAGGCTACTATACAGGCCACCAGCCCTTCTGGTGACTGAGGGGACAGGAGGAGAAGGCATCAGAAGGGGAAAGGAGAGGAAGGGGAGGCAGAGGCAGGGAGAAAGGCCAGGAGGCGGGCGTCCACTGGCCAGGCTGCTGGGAGGCCCTGCCCGTCAGCATTTCCCAGGAAGCTGCCCCGGCCATCGGCCTCACCTTCCCTGTGGCCAGTTGGTGGGCAGGGCCAACGCCAGCTCTGGGCTCCCTTGCTTGCTCCAAGCGAGTGGCCCTGCTTGCAGCCCCGCCGGCGTTGGCACGGTGACAGTAGCCAAGTGTGCAAACTTGTGCCATTGTCCCCAGGCCAGGGGGAGCCATGGAGACTGGCTAATATGACACAGGAAAATGTTTGCTGATGGCAATTCTATGGGCTTTGTCCACCTCTTTCTCCATCATGACGACTCGATTTAAGTCCCTAACTGTTTGACTACAAATGCAAGGGGACCGTGCAACGCCAGCCTTTTGTCCGGCCGCACTGAATGGGCAATTCAGGCTTTGTGCAGCTCAATTGAGGAAGCAAACATAAAGACAAGATTCCTGAGGGCTCCGGCTCCCTTCCCATGGATATGCCAGCACCCGTCAGGGCCGTCCCGGCCACCTTCCCCACGTCGGTGCACCACCGGCCCACGGCCCTCCCGCGCCCCGGCCCTGGGGGATCCTGGGGCAAGGGTGGTGGAGAGGGCGAGGGACAAAGATGGAGACGAACAGCGAGGCCCTCAACACTCAAGGACAGCGGGGGAAAGCGGCCCGCCCGTCAGCTTACCCTGTCCGATTGTCTGTCTGCACTGGAGCATAGCAGCTGCAGTCTTTGGGGGAGGTTTGCAAGCCCGTCTCCACCGGCCGGCCCCTCTGGGCCCTGGACATTCACACACACGCACACACACTCGCACACACACAGCCCCCTCGAGAAACCAGGGAACCGAGGTCAAGGGGAGGAGGGGCGTGGAGGCCGCCGAGCAGGGCCGAGGGTAGAAATTGACCGGGAAATGATTGCATTTGGGAGCTGTCTTTTTTGTGATGGTCCCCATGGTGACAATTTGTGACGGCAAAGAATGTGGGAACGGGGCGCCGCCGCCTGATTGGGATGCTTTGTATCTGGAGAGGCGCTCCTGATTGGCCTGGGGCCCCGGCCCGAGCTGTCCTCCATTCAGCCCACTCAAGGGCCGCACATCTCGCCCGCGCACAGAGCTCGCGGCTGCCGGGCCTGCCCCAGGTCTGCGGGGGAACCTGCCGGGCCACGTTGGCGGGCCCGGTCCGCACCTTCGGTTAGTGTGGAGGCCCGGCGGCTCTGGCCCGGCTGGGTGGGGGCGTGGGGCAGGCTGGGGCCTGGGGGAGGGGCGCAGTGCCGTGGGTGGTGGCCGAGGAGGCATGAAATTGCTGCAGATGCTTCTAAGAGGGAGTCCCTGCTGCCCGCAGCCTGAGATGAGCCCGCAAGGCAGGTCTCGATTAAGTGCCAGACAGGGGTCCTGCCTGGTCCTGCGTGAGAGTTGGGGGTGGAGCGTGGGCCTGAGGAGGGGGCGGGGAGGTGGGAGGGGGAGGCCACCACCAGGGAGGAGGGGGCTTGGCCTTCTCTAAGTGTGGCAATCGCCTCCGGGCGCAAGTGAGAACCTGGCTGGCCAGTGGAGCTCGCTGGCAGCGCGTGGTGTGGGAGTTGGGCAGACGGGGATGCCACCCCAGCAGTGCCACTTGTAGCTGGTCACCTCGGGCAAGTGGCTTGACCTCTCTGAGCCTCAGCTGCAAGAAGAGGGCAGCAGACCCCAGAAGGCTCACTGAGCCCATTAGTGCCCGTCCCATCACAGAGCTCAGGCGATGCTTAGCCACTGGCACCGTGTCCCATTGCCCAGGACCCTGTTCAGGGCAGAGGGGTGCTGGAGTGGGGACACTCTGCATCCTGCTTTGGTGGCCTGAGGTGAAGGTTGGGTGTGGCTGCTCAGAGAGACTCCAACGGCCTGTCCCGTCCCCCAGGTCAGCTCTGCGCCCCTCCTCGGAGCTGCCGGCCGCCAGCAGAGTCCACCCTCTTCATGGAAAGCCCCAGGCAGTGGCCCCCTGGTGATGGCATCCGACAGTGACGTGAAGATGTTGCTGAACTTTGTGAACCTGGCCTCCAGCGACATCAAGGCGGCCCTGGACAAGTCGGCGCCCTGCCGCCGCTCCGTGGACCACCGCAAGTACCTGCAGAAGCAGCTCAAGCGCTTCTCCCAGAAGTGCTCGCGGCTCCCGCGGGGCCTTCCTGGCCGGGCCGCTGAGCCCCACCTGAAACGGGGGCCCGAAGACCGGCCCGGGAGGCTGCCCCTCCACTCGGGCCCTGGTGCCAGCCCCGGCGGGGGAGGGGGCTGCCAGGAGAAGGCTCTGGGGAACCCCTGGAGGGAGGAGCGGCTTCCCAAGGAGCAGAGCCTCCAGGGGCAGGGTCCCGACGCTGCCAAGCCTGGCCAGGTGCCCATGAGGAAAAGACAGCTGCCCGCTTCCTTCTGGGAAGAGCCAAGGCCCACCCACAGCTATCCCTTGGGGCTGGAGGGGGGACTGGGCCCCAGGGAGGGACCTCCCTACGAGAGTAAGAAAAGTTGCAAGGGCCTGGAGTCCCTGGGGCCTGAGACTGCCCCGGTGCCCATGTCCCCCAGGGCACTGGCTGACAAGGAGCCCCTCAAGATGCCCGGGGTCTCCCTGGTGGGCCGTGTGGATGCCTGGAGCTGCTGCCCCCTCCAGTACCATGGACAGCCCATGTACCCAGGCCCTCCAGGGGCCCTGCCCCACAGCCAGGTGCCCGGCCTGTGCCTGTGGAGGAAGAGCCCAGCCTCGCCCGGGGAGCTGGCTCTCTTCTGCAAGGAGGTGGAAGGCGCGGGGCAGAAGGTGCACAGACCCGTGGTCCTGAAGCCCATCCCCACCAAGCCGGCCGTGCCCCCGCCCATCTTCAACGTCTTCGGCTACCTCTAGCTGGGCTGGGAGGGACTCGGCCCCCTCCTCCAGATTTCAGGGGCCCCAAGGAGCTCTCCTGAGGAGGAGGGGGCTGGGCAGTGGCGTGGCCTGGGGGCATTCCAAACAGCCCTTCCCTTTGTGTGTGGGGGGCAGGGCGGGCAGCACCCGGGGGCTTCTCAGGCAGACACCAGCCAGCCCTGCAGCCTTGGCAGCTGGGGGGCGGGCCCGGCGGGCCCCTCCCTGTCCCGCCTGGCAGACCATCCCCCTGACCCTTGGCTGACCATGGGCCCTTGCCCACCAGCATCGCGGAAGCCAGTTTCACACCTGTCCGCTGTGAGCCAGTGCCACTTGTTGTCCTGTTTGTTCTCTGTAAATATTAAGAAGGTTGAAAGAATAAAGACGTTTCTTTTGCAGTTTCCACGTCGTGTCATGGAGCTTGGTGGCCCCCGGCCTGGGAAGCCCTGGCTGTGCCGGGGCTGCGGGCTGCCTGCGGAGGCCAGCAGCCAGGGGAGGCCAGAACTGCAAGAGCCTCCTCAGAGTCTGGGGATGGGCGCTGGGGCTGCGGGAGAGAGCTCAGGAAGGAGGGCGGCGGAGGGCAGGGACCCCCGGGAAGGGCTCCGAGCCGCGTCAGGAGACAAGAGGCCGGGCAGGGCCAGACCTGGAGGTCCCCGCTGCTCTGGGCCAGGGAGGCGGGCTGCAGTCTGGTGGCTGTGGGCAGTCCCATGGCCGGAGAAGCCGGGCCCAACCGTTCAGCCCCTTGAGGACAAAACAGGTGGTTTGACCAGACTGTCCCCGTTGTGAGCAAGCCTCGTGTTCTAAGTCCATGGGCAGAACAGGACGACACGAACCCCCCAAACCAGACCCCAACCCAAGCAGCAAGGCCACGACCTCTAGCAAATTCAGATCCCAGGTTCCCGCCGATTCCTGTCCTGGTCACCTCTCCATGGAACACAAGCCTTCTGCCTGTGCCGGCACAGAGGGCCACCAGTGGCCAGAGGTGACCCTGGCTGGCAGGACTCAACTAGTAGAGCCCCTGCTCACAGCCCAGAATCGCTCTGCTGCCCTGGCCGTGGTCCTGTGGTGGACAGGGCTGGGCCTTCAGGATACGGAACTGTCCAGTTGATCAAAACAGGGTCGTCAAACGGGGACCAGAGGAGAGGGTGGCACCTCATCAGCAGTAGGGTCCTGGCTGAGCCAACCCCTGCCAGCTTCGGCCTCCTCATCTGCAGCCCGTGGGCCTGGGTCAGGGCCTCCCTACGGCTTCTGAATCCCCTCAGCCAGCACGGGCTCCAGGGTTAGGTCAGCCCCTCTGACCCTCCAGGAGGCCACCGGAGGGCAGCGCGCTCACTACCCGGGTTCACATCTGATGGCCTCAGAAGACTTGGGAGCCGTAGGTGCTGGCAAGACGGGGCAGAGTTTCTGAGTGATTATCTGACATGCGGGAGGTGGGAGGTTCTCAGCTGGACCCGCAGCCCCAGACTGCCTGGTCTCAAAGAGGGCTAAGGGGCCAGGATGAGGCATGTGCTTTCCTCTGCCCCCAAGCGTCATCACACAGGCCTTCTGAAGCCCGTTTGAGCCCCAGTCACCACCCCCAACCGGACAGCAAGGGGTCAAATCTTTCATTACCAACCCTGTCACCTACCAGCTGTGTGATACTGGGCAAGTTACTTAACCTCTCTGTGTTGAAATTTTCTCAACCAAAAAAATGAGATGGACCACAGGCCCAGTACACTGCACTGCACAGATCCCTAAAAACTGCACTGACCACAAGTCCCCCTCACACTTAAATGGTGGCATCTAAAGGCCCTGCCATAGTAAATATCCAAGCAGCCACACTCCCCAGAGTGCTGCCTGAGCCCAGTCCTGCTGGGGTTCTTGGCTGGAGACCAGCTTGTCCCCACTGGAGCTCCACTTTCCAGGGGACCCCTGCAAACCCATGCATCCGAAAGTCGGAGGCTTCATTTCTAAGACACAAGCAGAGGCACAAGGAACCCCCACATGGAAAGAAACTGGGAACACAGCTGCGTGCATCTGGGGAGGCTTCGCTATTTAAAAAAACAGGCAGCCACAGGCCCCGGCCAAGCGCACGTGAGGGACGGGCCAGCAGGGCCTCTGCCTCTCGGCGTGGGCTCAGCGCGTCTGCTCAGGGCGGACTCGCTGCCCGCCGTCCAGGACAGGAAGGGTTCGGTGACGCTGTGTGACATCCCTGAGCCTGAAAACCCTCCTGGGCTGGGTCACGTGGCAGAGGCTGGCAGCCAGTGATGGACAAGGATGGCCCTGGTGTATCCCAGCTCAGGGGGCCAAAGCCCTCCACTCGGGGCCTGTACTGAGCTTGGTGGCCGAGCTCCAGGACCCACCCCTCGCACCCGGGTCCCGCACCCTAGCACCCTGGTCTCCTCAGACAGGTGCCCCGTCCACCTGGACCTCTCAGGGAGCCGACTCTGGGCTACTGGCTGTCAGGATTCTCTGGACAGGATGACCTGGGCAGCAGGTGTTGGCCTAATGCCCACCCTGGCCCGCGTGCACCTAGCAGCGCAGCCTGGCCGTGATGGCCTCTGCTCATGTTGACCGGCAGTCATGGGACGTGGGCCGGCAAGCCCTCTTCTAGTCGGGGTACCCAGGAGCTGAGCCCTACCAGCCGCTTCCCCCTGCGCCCCAGGGCTGAGATGCCCAGTCCTTCCCGCCCGGGCCTGTCTCCTACCAGTACCACGAGGGCCCGGGCAGGATGTGGCTGGGCCCCGTCTGAGCCGGGGCTGCGAAGTGCTGCTTCTCCTGGGGTCTCCTGACCCCATGGACCCCCGTGTGTCTGAGCAGAAAGGCCACAGGGGCCCCATGGCTCACTGTTCAGATGAGGGACCAGAGGAGCCAGCCAAACGGGGCCACAGGCCCAGCGGCCCACCTTCCAAAGGCCCAGAACTCCCCTGGCCTTGGTGAAGGTCCCACGGGACCCCAGGCTGGCCGTTCCTGCCCTGCTGAGGCTGTGCGCACCCAGATGCGAGGCGTCATTCCAGGCGCAGGGAGAACACTGAGGAGTTAGGGAGCTCCCATGAAGCCAGGCTGCGGGGTCTCGGCCCAGGGGCCCCTGAGAAAACCCCACGACGGTGGCGAGCCTCATCCCCTCACCCGCCTCACCCCAAAGCCGGGCTCCCCCATGAGCCGCCAGGGCCAGGGCTCGCTCTCCCCAGGGCCTTCGCCAGGGCTGCACCCGCCCGCCCTGCGTCCAGCACATCCACCACAGGGCCCACCACGGAGCCTTTTCCTATCTCAACTTCTGTCGCAAAACAGGGGGCCAGGAGGCTCAGCCCTGGTGCAGAAGGCCTGTGGGCACCGACCGCCTGATCCCGATGAAGCTCCCGTTTCCACGGCAACCGAACAGGACAGGAAAACCGCTGGGCCATGGGGTCCCTCCTGTCAGTGAAAGATACACCCTCTTGGATGACATGTTCCCCGTGTCTTGTCCCCACCACTGCCTGGAGCAGGACTGAGGACCTCAGGCCTCAGGGGGGTCGGTGAAAGGGACATCGTCGCTGGGCAGGGTGACGTGTGTGCAGCATTTATTGTCCTCAGTGAAGCCCTCCAGACCGAGGGCCCCCTCCCTGGTCCTGGCCCCGCTCAGAGGTTGAGGTCAAGTGGGGGGTTACACGAAGTGGTGGGGGGAGCACGGGGAATGCTCTGAAGCGAGGTCCCCGCATCCCAGAGAGGCGAGCCCGTGCCCAGGAGTCCTCCAGCACAGTTCGGGTGGAGGCCAGGGGTCGCTATGGCCCCCACCTTCCCCGGACCCGCAAGTTCTGTCCAGGCTCCGGGATGGAGCCCGCCTGCCCCTCATTCCCAGTGGCAGAGGAGGCCTGGGCTCTAGTCCACAGTCTAGATGATTCTTCTCCGCCTCCGGGTGCTGTGCTCTCTGCTCTGGACAAAGCTCGGGCACAGACCCAGCAAGACAGGTGGCTGTCCCAGCCGAGAGGGAGGCAGCCTGCAGCCTTGTCCTGCCCCAGATGCTCCTGGATGTGGGGACACCACCGTCCTGAGACTTGGAGAACAGGTGCGAGGGGCCACTGGGCTTCCCAGGCCCTTACTGGGTGTCCTCGTATTTCAGGTATCTGATCAGTCTCCCTGGGAGGGGCAGCGTGTCCAGGAGTTTGATGCGATACTTGCCGATGGCCTTTCGAACCTGCAGCCGGCAAAGGTGAGCCAGGGGTCTCGGAGGTTCTGCGAAAGGAGGGAAAGAGACGCTGGGTACCACCGACAAGGGTGTGCGTCTGTGCCTCTGGCCCAGGGAGGCCCTTGGGTGGCACAGCTAAGTGCGAGGGGTGTCTGCTTCTGTACCCCGTCCCTACAACTGAGGAGACCTGGCAAAGCGCCTACCGGTGTCACCCGCATGGATCTGCACTGCCCCAGGAAGTCCACAGGGTGAGCACTGCTGCCCCCGTTGCACAGCTGAGGAAACTGAGGCTCAGTGAGGTTCTGGGCCTGACCCAGGAGGCTCTGGGATAACGCTGGCCTCTCCCTTGTCTGAGCCCCTCCCTCTTCACTCACAAGGAATTCACTCTATGCCCTGGGGGCTCACAGTCCCCCGGGCTGCCGTCCAGTCTCCCTGGAAGGCCTCCTGCAGCAGCTTCTCAGCTGGGAGGCGGGGTGGGGAGAGGCCGGGCAGGGACCGCGCACCCAGTAATGGGCCATTTGTTTATTTGGGCACATGGAAGGTCAAAGGACGTCACCACATTCATTAGCAAGCACTCGTGCCCCCTTGCCACCGCAGGCCCATGGTGGCCCAGGATTTGTGAGAAGGCTCCACATCCCGTGGGGCCAGGTGGGGAGGAGGCAAAGGCGTCCCAAGACGGGAAGGCAGCAGGGGCCACCAGCCGCAGGTGGGGTGGGCGGAGGGTGTGGAGGAGGGACTGAGGAGGCCGGGGGCCAAGCACCACCTGGTACTCCTGGCCCAGCCACCCACCCCTCTGCTCTCCCTGGGATGGAGCCCACCCTCTGCCGAGGCAGCACCTTCCCTGGGGAGGGAAGAAAAGACTCAGGGTGGGGTGTGGGACCCAAAGGGAGCCCTGAGGGCGGGGCTGTGAATCAATGCCCCGCTGCCCTTCAGGGCCTCCTCCGCCTCCTGTCCAGGATAATGAGGTCAGCATCAGAGGCTCCAGCGCAAAAGCAGACGGAGAGGGTCCTGCAGCGGGAGGTGGACTGAACCCAGAGGTGCTGGGTTAGAGCTGTCGGTCCCCTGGGCTGACCTGACAGAACACCAAGGGCCCTGGGGAAGGCTTCGCTGAGACACTGCCCCTCCCTGGGGAAGGCAGCCGGGCAGCAGGGGGGGACAGAGGCAGTGGGGCCCACGTCCAGACATGGACCGCTCCACCCTCTAGTGGCCAAGGATCAGGGGGCCAGCTGCCAGTTACTCAAGAGTCGAGGAAGGTTTGCGCCACACAGAGCTGTGCCTGGAGAGTGGCCGGTCACCGCCCTACCCTGCAGCTGCCGCAGTGGCTGTGTCAGAGACAACGGCTCAAGTGCTCTTCGAGCAGCTGTGCTGATGGAAAACACTAGAGTCTGGGTTCACGGAGGGGCAGGATCAACAGAGAACCTGGGGAGTCAGTGTCGGGGAGCTGAAGCAGCAGTCTCATGGGACAGGAGCAGCTGTGAGGGCGTGGCAATAGCCTGCCGGAGGTCAGACTGCATCACCTGATTGACAGACACCTGGCCAGAGCCCAAGACAGCCCTGGGCAGCTGAACTCCTCCGGGCAGATGTCCACAGCTGTCACCAACACTGCTTGTGATGCCTCACCTGCCCAGGTGAGTCCATAATGCCTAAGAAGGATTCTGGCCTCCCTGGACTGAGGAGGCAGGTGGGCTGACCCATCTAAACTGTACTCATGAGCTGGACAGTGGCCAGACCCCATTTCCCTGTGCCAGAGCTGGGAGGGGCTGGGCTGTGAGCCTGCCCCACCTCCTCTGTTCGGGTGGGAGGAACCCTGGCCACAACTATCCTGCTTGTGGCTGGTAAGGCTGGCTCCGAGCCCAGGGTCTGCTCCATGGCAGATCTGGGGCCACAGGTGATCTGTGGGCCAGCAGCACCGGCCCCACCCAGAAGCCAGTGGAATGCAGTGTCTCAGGCCTACCGGCTGCTGATTCCAGCGGCCTTCCTGACAGAGGCCCCGATGCTCAGGCGCACCTTCCAGTGGACACACCCCATCCCCATCCTCTCCTCCTCCTCACACTGCCTCGGGCCCCAGAGTGTGGCAACAGACTCCACAGCCCTCCTCAGGAGGCCAGACACTTCAAACAGCATGGGTGGACGTTGGTCAGACCCGGGTTTGAATCCCTGCCTGCTACTACCTAGTGGGGTGACTTTGGCCCTGGTGACATCTCTGAGGCTTGGTTTTCTCATTTATCATCTAAGGAGGCTCCAGCGACACACTGTAGGTGACAGGCAGCACAGTGCAGAGCCTGGCACTACCCATTGGTAGCAGTTACAGCCCCCCCCGGGGGGGGGACCTGCCAGCGGTGGCAGCAACAGCCCCTACCTGCCTTCTCCTTGATGATGGCCCAGTCCTCAAAGCTGTCGATGTGCTCCTTCAGCCGGGAGCAGAGCTGCACGTTGCCCACGTAGTCCAGGAGGACATCGATGATGGGCCCCGCCCAGCGGCTCACCTCTGGCGCCGATAGGACCTCGCAGAACTGAAAGGCAGCACACGTTCAGGGACCCTGAGGCCAGGAGGCAGCCGGTACTCCCAGGCCAGGTCCACTTTGCAAACCTTTTCCCCTCAACACAGACCTCTCTCGACACAGGCCCCTAGCCTGCAAAGATGGGCACCTTAGGCAAATCATGTGGTCTCTCTGTGCCTCAATTCCTTGTCTGCAAAATGGGTATATGCTGCCCATGTCAAGGGGATTTTTAAAAATTAGAATTCAGGTAACAGACACAGAAACTTCTTTGTATACAGTAGGCAGCCCATAAATGATGGTCACAAACCATTACAACAGGATGGCTCTTCATTTCCTTTTCATTTTACAGACTGGTTTAAACCAACATCACGCAGGTCCTACCTCTGGGACAGGGCTTTTCTGCCCTCTCCTAACCTCACACCTGCCCTCTGGTTCCTGCCGCTCACCACCACATTCCAGGTGCCACTCTGCAGGGCTGATGAGCCTGGGTTGATCAGTTCCCTACCAACTCCTAGCTGTACTGCTGTCGTCTTAACTTTCTAAACACAGCAGAACAAAGTAAGGATTTATTTCATCATCCAATGTGACCCACGAAGTTCTGCTGCCTCTGAAGGTGCTAACCGCCAACCTGCTGCCTCCCAAGTAGCCAACTACAAGTTTACACTCCCTCCAAAGCCCCTTCATCGCTAGTTCCCACCATCGCTGGAGCACTGACCACTAACCCACACTGCCTCCCACTCTCATGGGCCTCCATGCTCTGCTGCCCCTAACGCTGTCCACACTCTCGCCAAAGTGTGCTAACCACGAGTCTACACTGCTTCTAAAGTACCCTGACACCGGGCTCCACCACCTCCAATGCACACGGATTGGCAGGCCACCCCTGGACCCCACGATGCCCGTGCACCTGGACCACGCTGGGCTCCTTGTCCATGGGCGCCTCGTAGAACCTGCCGGAGCGCTGCGGGGCGGGCGGGTGCGGGCCGTTGCCGTACAGGCAGGAGAAGCAGGGCTCGCCGTTGCAGCCGAGGTCCATGAGGAACTTGAGCAGGGACAGGCACTTCATGGAGAACATGATGGTGGCGGGGAAGGCGGTGGGGTGCGTGGTGATGTAGGCGTCGATGTTGGCGCCGTGGTCCAGCAGCAGCTGCATGGTGCGCAGGCAGCCGTGGCGGATGGCCACCAGCAGTGGGTTGATGATGTCGCGGTTGGGGTCGGCGCCGGCCAGCAGCAGCAGCTCGGTGGCATACACGTTATTGTTGACCACGGCGAAGTAGAGCGCGGAGGTGCGGCGGTCCTCGTAGAGGCGCGCGCGCTCGGGCGCCAGCGGCGTGTTCACGTCGAAGCGCGCGTCCAGCAAAGCCTCCAGCACCGCGTCGTTGTTGCGCTCTGCCGCCAGGTGCAGGGGACTGATGCCGCTCCGGCGCACGCGCGTGCGACTCGTCACTGGCAGCAGCATTTGCACGATTCTGCGGGCGGGCAGGGCAGGCGTGGGTCACTGGGTGGCCGGCAGGTCAAGCAACCCCGCCAACCGAGGGCACCGAGGGGCAAGCAGGCTCATGACTACCTCTTTGGGGTGCAAAGGGAGTTGTCTCTTTCTGTCCCCGTTTTATAGATAGGGAAACTGAGGCTCAGAGAGCTTCAACCATCTTCGCTAATTCACAGCCAGGAAGGGGTGGAGCTGGCTTCAAACCCAGAACCCTTCCAAAGTCTGGGTTCTTAAAAAAAAAAACACCTCAGCCAGGCTAGACTGTGGCTCAGGAATCCCCCACTGACTGGTTTCAGGCCAAGGGATGGGGATTGCCCATTTCCAGCCCAATAATGTGGAGGAATTGACTGGAGGTCCCCAAACCTAGAGAACGTCCAGGCTACCCCCTGCAGGAGGCAGCAGAGCCTCATGGTAAAGCCCCGTGTCCTGGGGCAGGACACCCAGGAAATTTGGTTTGATCTTTATGAAAACACATGAATCACATCTCGTCATTCCCTCTCTGCAAAAGAGAAAAGCCAAGGCTCGGAGAGGTTAAGGGGCCTGCTCCGCCACACAGAGAAGGCACACCAGGGGTTGTGCCCTCCCTCTGGCTGCGGGCTCAATTGCCCTGCCTCAGGCCCTGGTCCTGAGGCACAGGGGGTCCTGAGGGACAGGAGAGAGCATACTTATCTGACCCAACCACTCCTGCCCCAGGCTGGTTAGCCAGCTCTGTCCCCAGATCCTTCTCTCCCTCCTATGAGATTCAAGGCCTCTTCCCCTGAAGCTGACCCCAGCTTCTCCCCGCTTGCCTTTGACCCAATGGGCCACTGCTAAGGCTGGTGCTCCCTGCAATGGGACCCAGACACTGATTTCCACCCTCTGACTCCTTTAATCTCTGAAGTCCTCCCAACAGCCCTTCTAGATGAGGAGATGAAGCTCAGAGAGGGTATTCGACTTCCCCAAGATCACACAGCCAGATAGTGGGAGGCCAGGATTTGAACCCTGAGGCCAGCTCTTAACCCCTCCCCTACTTCTGATAGAGCAATCGGAGTGACAGCTGATATATCTCGGGGTTTTGATCTTCACAATGAATGGACTTACCTGCCTGGTTTCCCTTCACTGAAGCCCTGTGAGGTGGCCGGGGCAGACTGTGGACTTCTTTTGAGCCGCTGTGGCTCAGAGAGCTTAATAAAAAGTCATGCAACGGACGGGGCTCCACCCCAGGACCCCTTGACTTGGCACTCTTCCCCTGAACCCCTGCTGCCCCCAAGAACAAGCACCTGCCACCGACATGATTCCAGACCCTAATCCGTCCAGTCGGGGCTGATAGGTGACCTCACAGCCCTGGGTGCTGTTCCAAGAGGTGGCTGTGAGGGGGGAGGGAGCAGGTGCCACGGGGCTGGTTCCCACGCCTCTCCTACTCTTGGCACAGGGAATCCCTCTGGCTTCCTGGAAATCTGATGCCAGCAGCCTCCTGCTGGGATCTCAGTGGAAAGTATTATTATTGTCAGTGACACTGTGTTTGGCTAAAATCTGCCTCTTAAACCTCAAAAGAAAACCCACACACCCTGGGGGGCTAATTGCCTCCTAATTTTTATTTGTGCAGGCCCTGGAGGCCTGACCTTGCTCCACAGAGGTGCTGGTCAAAGGCAGGGCTGGGGCCTGGCCCTGGACCACGGCCATGGCCAATAAATGCTCTGTAACAGCCGTGACAGGCCCAGGCACTGCCCCGGGGCTGCTGGCCTGCTATCCTGCTATCCTGGCAGGTCCCAGTGGGTCCCCAGCAAGCCCCTGCAGAAACAAGTACAAGACGTGCCGCCTCAGGCCCCAGAAGGGTTGTCGCAATAACATAGTGAATCACCGGGTTGCTGCGTGCTTCCGCAGGACTTGCCAGCCAGGAGATGAATGTGCGGTACCCGCAGCCCCCGCATCGCCCGGAGGGTGAGACTAAGCCTAGGCACAGGCGGGAAGGATGAGGGCAGAGGGTGGGGGGCAAAGCCGGCGGAATGGAGGTGCCTGCAGGCTCGGCCTTCCCAGGGTGCCTACTCTGCACTGGGGAGAGCGGCTCCACGGGCCTGGCCAATCCTGTCCCCCAGAGCATTTTGTGAATCACAGGGGGCAGGAAGGCCAGGGGATGACCCCAAACAAGGCTGGAGTCATTGTACCTCTCCCAGTGGCAGGTGCTAGGATTAGCTTGCTGTCACTCAAATGCTCCTTTATGGAGAGAAAGCATGTGACCATTGCCCATAGAACCCTGGGTGTCCGGGAGGCCTGGCTCCCTCCCTCCCCAGGCAGGAGCTGCACCTCCCCCCCAGCCCAGCTCTGTTGGCAGAGGCCGGGGGCAGAAGAGGCCTGCCTAGGACTGTATCTAGGAGCAGCTCGGCTGGCCACCTCTGGTCGGCCTTGTTCTGAGACTCCCTCCATCACTAACAGAACCCCCTCTCCTCGCCCCTGACCTTGATCTCTGCCGAGAGTTCTAGCTGCCCAAGGCTGCAGCCTTCACGCGCAGCCTGTCGCGGGCGGGCTCCGCATCTTGCCTGAGTCCAGCCCAGGAGCAGGGAATAGATGAGGGATTTGGGCCAACGCGGGCTGTTTTTAGCAGTGTGGAGTCCAGTGTGGGCAGCAAGGAAACTGGGGGTCCCAGAAATAGGTGGCCCTGGGTGACCAACCAGCTCTGCCTCTCAGCATTGGGCCATCCCAGCCATGTCACTTAACCTCCCTGAACCATGCTTCTACAGAGGGACACTTAATCATAATAATGGTGACGGTGGTGACAAGGCTGACGGTCTCAGCTACCTTTCCTCGAGCCCCTGTGGCTGTGAATACTCCCCTCTCCCAATAACTGTGATCATCATATTGCTGAGCATTCCCTCTGACTGCTTTATACATTGACCTTGCTTAACCTTCAAATGACCCCGAGAGATAAGTAGGAATTCTTCCTGACAACCCAGCAAGGCGGGGTGGCCATGCCCAGATTACAGGACACAATCATCTCTTCCACCAAGGCCCCTATCTAGGGGGGCAAAATGAGATCTCCCCCTCTGTGGGATGAGTGCACAGGAGACGTTTGAGAAATAGTGGCGGGCTGGGCTGGGGCTCAGCAGTGGAGCACTTGCCCAGCACCTGTGAGGCACTGGGTTCAGTTCTCAGCACTGAATACGAATAAATGAATAAAATAAAGGTTCATCAACATCTTAAAAAAGAAAGAAGAAGAAGCAGTGGCTGCCAGTATGCCGACAGTCCCAGCCCTCTGCACCCAATATGACGAGCTCTGGGTCACCAGGATATGTGGTCTGACCTTCGTCAGCATTCGCTGTCAGTGTGACAGGTGAACTTGACTTTCATGTGGGAAGCAGCTGCCCCACCAGCACAGCTGAGCTGCTCAGACAACCCAGCCCCAGGTTTGTGTGTAGGAAAGAAAGAAAACAAGAGATCAGAGGGAAGCCTCAAATGCAAGTTTTACATTTTCTACTGGCCATAAATGCAAAGATCCTGGTTCTCCCACCCCCACTCCCTCACCAGCTGCAGAGGAAGATTAGCCAGGCAGCTTTAGAAACCCTGAAGTCCCAACCAAAGCCCAGATGGCTACACCAGAGCCTCTGAGAACGGGCCGGGGCATAGGGTTTGCAGAAACGCAGGGTCCCCTGAGCAGCTACGCCCGAGAATCGCCTCTGTCTGGGGGATCTTGGGGGTCTGCTCTTGTCTGACTCACACACTCTCTGTCTTTGGTGCTGCTCTCTGTTCCACAAGCTGTCTCTCCAGACCAGAAGTGAGAACAGGAAAAAGTGCCCTGGGCGGTGACTAAGACGTGGGCGTCTTAAGGACTTCTGTCTCAGCCATGCCCGAGTGTCACACCCTCGTGTTCAGTGTGTGCTGAAGAGCAGGCGCATCTGGCGGACGTCCCCAGCCTCCTGGCCCCACTCCAGGTGGTGACGGTAGGGGGCAGGGAGTTTTGGCAGGTGGCTGGCTGTGGAATGCCTATGGAATGTCACACCAGATCCCCAAGCAGCCTATGGGAGGTGGCCGTGGAGAGGGCCTTTAACGCCACATGCCCGGGTGGAGTGAGAAGCCCCGCTTGCTGGCCACGGCCCTGCCAGGTGGCAGAAGCTGCTGGGCACCCAGCTTTAACCCTTTGTTGCCTTCAAAACATGGGTCGGGTGTGCGGGGAAGGAGGCAGGGCTCCGAGGTCGCACCCTCCTGGCGTCTTTGCTTCTGTCTCTGGGGTCCCGATGCCCTACTCCCGTGCCCCTCTGCCCAGTGAAGACGGCCGACACCCCTACACACAGCCTGTTCTCCTCCCTGCCTACAGGACCCGGGGTGTGGCCCAAAGCCCCTGGGCCCTGAGATGGGACTTCAGGGGGGAGTTTTTTGTCGTTGTAAACTGATCGTTTACCACTAGACCAGTTCCATAAATGTTGGCTTTTAAAATAAATTCATGAAAGTTAACAATTCAATTAAAGAAAGACATTTAGCTATGAGAACACGTCTAAAGTCAGGGAGAAAGGCCACGTGGGACCTCAGCTGAGGACACGCTGGCCACGGAAGGTGCCTGGCCGGGTGGGATTCAGTCCCAGCCTGGCTGTGGCTCGCCGTGGGGCAAGTCCCTTGGCCACCCAGGCCTCAGGCTCCTGGGAGTGGAGGTTGACCTGCCTCCCTGCAGCATGGTCTGGAGGCCCACGTGGGGAGCACACCCCACCTGGGAAATTCCTGAGCCCAGTCTGTCCTTCCAGGGCAGCAGGAGCTACCCCTCCAGGGCAGGGTCTTTCCCCGCCCAGAGCATCATGGGTAAATGTTCAACAACTGACTCTTCCACGGGCTGGGGTGGGGGGCACAGGGAGGAGGGAGCAGACCTATGGCCTCTGTCAACACCTCTGGTGGCACATCCCCCACTGTGGACGATTTTAGCCACCAATGCGAGATTGATGAACGTAGAATTGGGAAGAGGTACACACAGTAGGCTCACAGGAGCCAGCATGGGCTGACTGTAGCCCACCTCAGCTCCAGCCATGATGGCCTCTGTCCACTAGGACCCCACGCAGCCGAGTGCAGCAAGTTCCTTCCTTATATCACGAATCTGTGCATCTGTGTATGTGTATGCATGTGTATGTGTGAATGTGTGTGTGTGCATGTGTGCACGAGTGTGTAAGCATATATGTGTGAGTGTGCAATATGCACAAGTGTGTGAGTGTGCATGAATAAGTGTGTGAGTGTGTGCACATGTGTGCGCATGAGTGTGCATGTGTGCATGAGTGTGCACGAGTGTATGTGTGTGTGTATGCATAAGTGCATGTGTACATGTGCTTGCATGTGTATGAATGTGTACATGAGTGTGCATGAGTGTGTGTGCATGTGTGTGCATGCATGTGTATGAGTGTGTGCATGAGTGTACATGGATACATGAGTGTGTGCATGAGTGTGCATGAGTGTGTGTGCATGTGTGCATTAATGAGTGTGTGCAGTGTGTGCCACATGTGTGTGCATGCATGTGTATGAGTGTGTGCCACGTGTGTGCATGCATGTGTATTGAGTGTGTGCATGTGTGCATGTATGAGTGTGTGCAGAGTGTGTGCCACATGTGTGTGTGCATGTGTGTGTGCATGTGTGTGCATGCAGGTGTATGAGTGTGTGCATGAGTGTGTGTGCATGTGTGCATATATGAGTGTGTGCAGAGTGTGTGCCACATGTGTGTGTGCATGTGTGCATGAGTGTGTATGTGTTCTTGCATGTCCATCTTCCCTCCCAGCATAAGCTTCTCTCATCTTGCTCTCTGTGCCCTGTGCACAGTAATTTGCTCTGGTACCTCGGGTGTTGGAGGCACTGCCTGTATGCCTGCTAACTGCCTGGCAGGATCTCTCTGCAGCCCCCCAGGTATATTCACTAGTTCGGACTCATATCTGGCCCTCTGAGTAGAATTCCTATTGACATGACATTTGGAGCCTGCCACCTACAAGCTGTGTGACCTTGAGCAAGTCACTCACCCTCTCTGGGTCTAGGCTTCTTCATCTGGAAAGCAGGGATAATAACAGTATCCATCTGACCAAGTGGCCGAAAGGATCAAATAAGCTTCAGATGCCTAGTCCTTGCTGTGGCCGCCGCACCAGGTGGCCGCTGCCTGCTTGCTAACAGTGGGGGCGTCCCTCCTGTGGGAAGGGTGCCCTCCCGCGGCCCTCCCCGTGGCCCTCCGGGGGTGAGCGGGTTGGCAGGGCTGACCTGTAGTTGCCCTTCCTGGAGGCGATGTGCAGGGGCAGCAAGCCGTCCTTGTTGGCCTTGTTGGCGTCGGCGCCCTGGGACAGCAGGAAGGCCACCACGTCCTCGTGCTCGTTCTTGCAGGCCTCGTACAGGGCGGAGGCGTTGTCGCTGGCCTGCGTGTTGATGTCAGCGCCTGGAGAGAGAGCAGGTCCGGAGTGATCAGGGTGGCCCCTGCTCGACGCGGCGGCCACGACCACGCGGGGAGGAGGGGTGGGCTCCGGACCCGGCTCCCCTGGGCAGCTCCCCATCCGCCCGCCTGGTGGGTCCTGACCGAGCACCTGGTGCCGGGCACTGGTAGCAGCCACGCCCTCCCTCTGAGTCCCCACGGGTGGGAGCTTGGCGCTGTCCCTGGTTTCCCACCCTGAGGCAGCGCTAGCCCAGGGCAGCGAGGCAGTCTCCGCAGGCCGCCTGGCCCCGTCGTGGGAGCTGAACTTGAAACTTGGTGGTCCCATGGCAGCGGCCACGCTCTTGACCCTCACTCCGTCTGAGAGGCCCGGCTCTGCCCTGAGAGAGGCCTCACGATCCTGGCTGAGCAGAGCTTCTCAGAGAGGGGACCCGATAACCGTATGGCGTTTGTTTTCAATCTGCCAGAAATAAAGATAAGTGACTTTCTCCTCCTAAGAAGTCCCTGAGCCACGCGGCAGGAGGGCCGGGGCGATGCGTCCAGCTCAACCTCCCACACCCTCTGCATCTCCTGGGGTGAGGGACAGAACGCTGTGTGCATGATTTTTCTGATTTCTCGGCAAAAAGAGGGTTTGTCAGTCTTTCCTTGTTCCGGAAGGAGGTGGCCCTGCGAGGGCCTGACAAGTCCCCGAGGGCTGAGATCAAAGGCTGAGGAACCGCAGCTGCCTTCCTGCGCGGGCTGCTATCTCAGGCTTTCTGGTGACTTTGTTTTCAACTATGTGGGGTCCTTCTCGGGTCCAGTGGAAAGAGGGAGGCTTTGGTGACAGACGAGGACCAGCTCACGTTTCTGTGTCATGGTTTCTGAGCCCCATGGCCGCAGCAGACAGCCTTTAGGAGCCTCCATTGACCATCTGTGGACCAGAGTGTCAGTCCCACCTCTCTGGTCACTGCAGGAAGTGAAGTGCGGCTCTCGGCCCAGACAGGACCCGAGAAGGCGCCCAGCAACGCCACCTGTCCAGGACAAGGGTCCTGAGCAGAGGCTGCCCTGCCCTCCCTGCCCAGGGAGAGGCCCCAGGCCCTCAAAGCCAGGCTCCTTGGAAGGCCTGCGTCCCGCCAGCCCGCCTCCTGCTCACACAGAAAAATATTTGGAATGAGAAATGGACTCAGCCCACCCAGGGGACAGCCCTGCCCGCTGTGTCCGCAGGACACCTGGGCAGATGTTTGCAGTTAGCGGCTCGTCCTTCCCGCGGAGCACCCTGCCCTCTGCCCCGCCTCCTGGCCTGGGCTTCAAGGACCCTGCCTGTGTCCCTTTGTTCTCACACGCTGGTCTGTCCAGAATTGTCCCTGGCTGCGGGGAGGTGGCTGTGTCTGTTTTCCCAACTGCTCAGGCACGTGCTGAGGACGGGGACCTCCTCTGGACTCAGGCCCGTGACAACCCTCGCAGGCCGCCATGCTGTGGCGAGTCTACGCGGAGGGTCAGAATCCAGGCTCTGACTCTGACGGGGACCTGTTGTTTAACCCCTTCACGCCCCAGCCTCCTGCGTATTAGATGTGGACGCTGCTGAGCTCCCTGGGCTCTGGGGAGACTCCAAGACCTCATCCTCCGCTTAGCAGAGAGTCTGGCACCCAGCAGGGGCGCAGCACAGGACTCCAGGCCAGCCCCCGGGAATGCAGAGCCTCTGGCCTCTGGGTCGCCCTGGGGGGCAGAATCCTTCCCGTGGAGAGGAGAAAGAACAGCCCTGGTCTCAGGGGCTTCATAATGCAGGCAGAAATGCTTTAGTTTCTCCCATGAAGAGTTTTCTGAGGCAAAGAAGGCAGAGAACCTGGGTTCAAATCCCAGCTCTGCTACTAATTTGCTGTGTGACCTAAGAAAAAAATCACTTTCCCAGCCTGGTCCTTGGCTTCATCTGCAAAGTAAAGAGGTGACCTCAGTGTTGTCTAAAGTTCCTTTCTGACCTCTAAGTGTGGCTACTTAGTTCTACAGCTAAGTCTGCTACTGGCTATAGATAGGTCACCTCCCTTTCTAGGCCACAGAGAAAAATGGGGACGTTGGGCTGGGGAGATGTCACCCCCACGGTGCCCGGGCCTAAATGCAGGTATCACCAGTGGCCCCCGCAGGACTTGGACATGGCCTCAGAGTCCTTCCTAACACGGCCCTCCACAGAGACACTGTGGGTGACCAGCAGATGACACCTCCACTGTCCCCCGCCGGCTCGTCCCTGAGGTCCTTCCCAGCAGGGGCCCTCGGCCACTCACCGTGCTTGGCCAGGAACCTCAGGGCCTCCAGCTGCCCACTCTGCGCGGCCACGAACAAGGGGGTGATGCCGTAGGTGTTCTTGGCCTCCACCTTGGCGCCGCCGCCCACCAGGATCTCCATGACCTCCAGGTCGTTGCGGGACACCGACTCGTGCAGCGCCGTCCAGCCCCGGTTGCAGCGGTGATTGGTGTCTGCCCTGTGCTGCACCAGGATCCGCACGGCCTCCGCGTTCTTGCGCTCGCAGGCTGTGCCCGGGGACAAGCCAGACGGTCAGGGGCCCTGGCAGGACCCGGCCAGGCGGCTCCGTCTGTCCCCTCACTCACTCATCGGCCAGTCACTCGACCCAGAGCCACTGCATCTGCCAAACCCCAGCCCCTGTGCCGAACCCAGGGTGAACAGTTAACGGGCAGGGAGCCCGGCGCCTGAGGTCACACAGGCAGGAAGTGGCAGGATTAGAGCCAGGCCGTCAGGTCTGGAATCTGTCCCCTGGAATATTTCAGGACGTCCCTACCTCGTCACCCTTCCAGGGTCACCTGCTCCGGTCCTCCACATCCCCGAGGCGAGGCGGACCTTCCCACGTCAGGAGTGGCTGTTGCTGCTCAAAGCCCGCCCTCAAAGCCTCCTGGCCTACTTTGGGGTGGAGTGTACCTCTGAGCCCTGCTCCTCTCCTCAACCTGTTCCACCTGCCTCTTGAGCCACACCCGTCTTTGGACTCCAAACGCACCTGGGGCTCTGGCCAGAGTTCTCACCGTGGAGCCGTAGGTTCAAGCTGGGGTCACCCCGGTGCTTGTCCACACTGACCCCCGGGGCCCCCTGGGTCAGAGGTCTCGGAGAGGGGCACAGGGCCTGCGGGTGCCGTGTCTAAGCAGGACCACGCTGCCCACCTCTCCCAGGCTCAGCTTCCTGCAGAGGGTCGAGGCTCCCTGGGAGGGTGCTGGGGGGGCACTTGAGGCACTGGCAAGGGGCGTGGCCTCTGGCAGGACAGGGCCAGGAAACTGCCTGGGACTTAGGGCTCCTGGGAGCTCTGCCTGGGACAGCTGTGGAGCCCACCCGGGCCCCCCAGGCTCTAGGGCAGACACGCCCACCACAGGTCCTCGAACACCCGTTACCTGCCACCCAGTTCCCGCCACCCACAGAATGTCCCCAGTGCTGGGCCTGTTGTTTGCAAGACGCCACTGGCTGTGAGTGGGTCCCTGGGAGCTAGACACTGCAGAGTGCAGCACCTGCTGGCACCCAGCTCCCAGGTCCACCCTGGCTGGCTGTGTGATCCTGGGCGACTTGTGCCTTAGATCCTCATCGGCAAAGTGGGGGTGTGGCAGTGCCCCTCTTGCACATGGAGGGACATGAGGGCTGGCGAGAGCAGAGCAGTGCCAGGCGCGCGGTGAGCCCTTGGCAAGTGCCAGCTATTACAAGGGCTGGGATTTTGACTCTGGGTGCTGCTAGGGCAGCCAGCGAATGTCCTTGGGTGATGATGGACTGAGCAAGCCCAGAGGATCTATTTTTC